TTTCATACATAAATGGGACATTGTGTACCTATTTTTTATTTCATATATCATAAGTATTTGCATGTCATTAAATATTCTTTTTAATTTTTTATTAAGTTATAGTTAATTTACCATATTATATTAGTTTCAGGTGTATAACATAGTGATTCAAAATGTTTGCAGATTATATTCCATTTATAGTTTTTATAAAATACTGGCTATATTCCCTGTGCTGTACGATATATCCTTGTATTAAATATTCTTTTTCAAAGGATTGCATGGTGGTCTATCATCTAGTTGTACCATAATTTATTTACCTCTTTCATATAGTTCTCTATTACTAACACCTATTTTATGCCCTTGTTTATTTGTTCTTATAGCTTTGTTCTTGCATCCCCTTGTTTCAAAGCTCTTACAGCTTTGAAAATTTTTATAAAAACACCTTTGATAGTGTCTCTGAATATATCCGTGGAATGTATTTCCAGAAGTTGAAATTCTAGGTCAAAATTTTAAGGGCTTAATAAATTGCCCTTCAGAAATGTTGAACCAAATTTCATCTACCACCAGCAGATGAGGCTTACTGCATTGAGTACTCTCAGGACTGGTACTGTCAGGGTGGGGACACTGTTGACAAAGATAAGGGCAGAAGAAATGAGTGGACCACCTGGATGGAAGATGATGGGAGTGCAAGATATTTATGGGGCATGGAAAACGGTCTGTTGGCTAAGTGTAGGATACTTTTAAGGAAATAGAAAAGACAGAAACAGTGAGTTGGAATTGGATTTGATAGCACACTGAAAGCCAATTTAGAATGGTGTTGGGGAACCACTGGTAGGTTTTAAGTAGGGAGATGGGACCCTCCAGGGTTCAGCTACGGGAAGATGTTATACAGCACCACCTGTACCGTACCACCCCTCACTCCCCGTGTACTTGCCTCTTCCCAGCTCATGCCTTTGTTTGCACTGGTCCCTCTGCCTAAGTGCCCTGCTTTCTAACATCTGTCAAAATTCCACACAAGCATCAGGGACCAGATTCTTCCCTACATAGTTCCTGCTTGATTACATAGCACTAAACTGTATAACATGTCATATTACTTTTGTAATAATTATTTGGTGCACTACTCTCTCCCCCCAGATTATAAGCTCCTAGTGACCCACTCCTTTCTGTATCCTTAGGTATCTACTATCATGCCTGGCATATAGTAGATATTAATACACATTTACCAAAGGAATCCCAGGTACTGCATATGTCTCATATGACCTTGTATAAGTATTCCTTAGGTCAGGATATGTATGCTTCAACAGAATGGGATATTGGTATCTCGGCTAAGTCTTTATCCCAGAGTCAGTTAGGTCATCACAGAGGGCTCCATGACCGATACCTTGCTCTTAATCTCTTTTCTCCCTTCCCAACTCAGGACTTCCAGTTGCTGGCTTTCGGAGGCCACTGTCCCTTAAAGTGAGTGGAGAGCTTGTCTCTAGGAGTGTTTGCGAAACATAGTTGTTTATGAGAATTTTTACCTGAGTTTGCATCATTACACAATCAAGAAACTGGTGACAGATTTTGGAACTGGATTCTCTGATTTGGAAGAGATGCTGAAAGTCCATAAGTTGGATTTTACTTATAAAAAACTTAAGAACAAGAACAAAGTTCAACGAAGCCATCCATTTCCTCACTATGCAGAATTAACCATTGTTAAATGTTGACACACTTGCTTCTGGTCTCTCTTCTGTGTGTATACTTTTATTTTTAAATGCATAAATGATGTATGGATACATTGTTCTTTAAAAATTTAAATCGTACAGATAAAGCTTAAAGACCCCTTGACTTTCATCCCCATGCCCCATAGTCTAAAATTTTTTTGAAGTAAAGTCCTTTGTTTAAATGAGACTTTATGTAAAAGTCTGCTGTTAAATATGTGAGTATCCCATGTACATGTGTCCCATGTACTGTCATGTGCTGGGGGCACAGCAATGAGCAATATATGCAGGGCCCCCGCCCCCATGAAATAATCACAGTGGATAATTTGAAATAGTGGTACTTGCCCTGAAGAACTTCAAACAGGGTAAAGGGATAGAGAGTGACTGAAGCATGGAACAGGACTGGGGCAGATACAGTGGTTGGGGATGGCTTTCTGAGAAAGTGAAATTCGTGCTGAGGCCTTAATGATGAAAAGAACCAGCCGTGCACAGATGTGGCCAGAACACGCCAGTCAAGGACATGGCTGATGCAAAGGCCCTGAGGCAGGACCCAGCATGGCCAGTGTAGTTGAAGTGCAGTGACCCATACGAAGAAAGCTACAGGGTGAGGTGGGGAGGCAGGCAGGAGCCAGATTGTGATGCCCTTGGAGGCTGTTGCCTGGCCTTTGCATGTTCTTATAATTGCAGTGAGTAGCCTCAGGACGTTTTTATAAAATAAGATCGATACCTAATATATCAATATCCAAAAAAGTATAAAAGCAGAGCTGCTGGAATTGAAGCTGGAGTGGGAAGCTCAAGTCAACACTTGCTGAAAATCTCTAATCTCTCTCCCGTCTCCCATCTAAGAGTTGGGGTACCTTACGCACCTTAGGCATTTCTAACAGCTAACTTCAGTCTGAAGACAATGGAGCCAGGGACTCCTCACCTGCATCCTATCCCAATCACAGACATTAGAAAATTCTTCCTTATGTCTCCTTACAGCTTTACCCATTGTTTTGTTTTTTAATAAATTTATTTATTTAATTTATGGCTGCATTGGGTCTTCGTTGCTGCGTGCGGGCTTTCTCTAGTCGCAGAGAGTGGAGGCTACTCTTCGTTGCGGTGCGCGGGCTTCTCATTGCAGTGGCTTCTCTTGTTGCGGAGCACAGGCTCTAGGCGCGCGGGCTTCAGTAGTTGTGGCACGTGGGCTCAGGAGCTGTGGCACGCGGGCTCTAGAGTGCAGGCTCAGTAGTCGTGGCACACGGGCTTAGTTGCTCCGCAGCATGTGGGATCTTCCCGGACCAGGGCTCGAACCCCTGTCCCCTGCATTGGCAGGCGGATTCTTAACCACTGCACTACCAGGGAAGCCCTACCCATTGGTTTTAAATTCATCCTGGGGGGTGACACAGCTCTGACCCTGTTTCTATGGATTCGCCCATAGAAATCAGTTCGAGGATAATTGCGGGCCTCTGCCTCCCCCTCAGGTCTTCTCTTCTGTTTCAGGAAGTGCCTGCCGTAGTGTTAGCCCCGTGTCTCAGCACGTGCTGTGTTTGTCAGGATGGGGACATTAATATATTGTCTGATCATCTGTTGTGCACTCTCTGTGGTGCTCAGCGGTCACTGTAGCTTCTCCATCAAAGTCATGTGCCCACAGCTCTAAAGGATGAGTAGTCAAGACCCAACCACATCTGCTTTCTCTAATTTTTTTTTTTTTTTTTTTAAGAGAGAAATGTAGGGGAGGCTTTTAAGTGTGACTGCCAGTTTCTGTGGGATAAATCCAGACTCCTCAGCCTGGGTTGCAGCTTCTCCACACCAGCCCCCCTCTCTACGCTGACTCCCCCTGGCTCCTCCCTGGAATTCACGCCCTTGTTCCTACCATCTTCCTGGCACAGATGTGGCTCTCCTCCTCTGCCCTTCCAGCTCACCAAGGGCCAATTCATAATCCACCTTTCTTTTTCCTTTCAATCCCATCTCTTTTTAAAAATTGACAATCTACAGAAGTTATACAGGAATATGCTCTCATCATAAAATATATATATATATATATATATATACACATACATATATATATATAATAAAAAGTGTGTTTCCTTTCTTGCCTTTTCCCCAACCCCTTCCTCTCTCAGAGTTAGGAAATTGCTGTGTATCTTTCTAGGCCTTTTGCTATGCAGTCCCATGTAAATTATTTAGGTTTTTGTATAAGATTGTTTTTAAAAGACATTATGGCACATGTTATACACATTATTCTTTGAGTTGCTTTTTTCACTTGACAGTATAACTTAGAAATTTTTCTAAGACAATACATGCAGTTGTAACTTAAAAAAAAACTATGCAGTCATTAAAAATGTATTTTTATGGTAAAAATTCAAATTCAAAAGGGTATAAAGTGAAAAGGAGTAGTTCTCCCATCCCCTCTCTTTGGAAGTTACTGCTGATAACACTTCCTGACATATATTCATAAATGCTTTAAAACATGTAATCCTGTAGTATATAGTATACATATCACATAGTATCTTGAACATTTTTCCATATCTACATGCACAGATGCCTCTTTCTTTTTAGTGAGTGTGTAATGTTCCATTATGTGAATATACTATCATTTATTTAACCATCTCTCTATCAGTGAATTCATTTGATCTTTTCTGTTTGAAAATCTCGGACCCTTCTAGCTCGTGTTAAGTCACTCCTCCTTTGTTATGAATTTATTCAACACAATAAACATTAACTGAGTGTCTTCTGACTTCCTGGTGCTGTGCGGGGCACTAGGGCCACCAAGTTGCTTGATACACAGCCCCTTCCCCCTGCTTTGAGTTCTGCCAGTCTAATAGGAAGACACATTCCTAAGGAACTTTGACTGAGACATGAGCTGGAATGGATAGATATGTCTTAGCATATATATTATTAATTCTGCTTGGGGAAAGTAAAGGAGAAATTGCAATCGAACCCTAGAGGATAAGTAAGAGATCCTCTAGGTGGCAAGGAAGAGAAGGTCATTCTTGCAGGGGAGTAACAAGAACAATATGGGTTGGCAAGAAAGAGCACACGATGTGCAGAGAACAGCCCGGAGCCCAATGGGATTGGAGCATATGCCATGGCGTGAGGTGGCTGGAGTGTTACTGCTTGCTCAGCAGTGGGTCATAGGAAACACTGAACAAGTGCCTAGACGGGCATGTGCTCTCTGCCCACGTTGTCCCCTATGCCCTGCAGACGTTGCCTCCAGATGTTGGCTCCACTGACATTGCCTCTGGCTCACCAGGCTCTTTCTTGAATTGGTCTGACTTGAAAACTATATAAATCTTATCCATTTTTGTATTCTTAACATGTCATGTCCTCTTTTCGCAGAGTTTAATCGGTCAAGAAATAGAACAGAATTCAGCTATGGCCCCGAGGAAGAGAGGTGGACGGGGGATTTCATTCATCTTCTGCTGTTTCCGAAATAATGATCACCCAGAAATCACGTATCGGCTGCGAAATGATAGCAACTTTGCGCTTCAGACCATGGAGCCAGCATTACCCATGCCCCCTGTGGAGGAGCTGGACGTCATGTTCAGTGAACTTGTGGTGAGTCTCAGACTTCCATCCCAGGGGTAGTTGGGGCTATCCAGGAGGGAGGGGAGAGGATGTGGACGGTTTGGTTAGACACAGGCTTGCCTTTCTTCAGTGAAATGGCCCCCATCCGTCCCTTCGATCTGCACCCCCAACTGTCAGCACTGAGCCTGTGGAGAAGGAGAAAGAAAAGGTAGCATCACTACATCAGAGGGCTTTGCTGGTGCTTTAAGTGGAGGGATTTAGACCTTTAGTAGGTCTTCAGATATGTGGCACGACTGCTTCCTAAGTTGCCCTTTCTAATTCCTCCCCATCCCAACCTGAGATACTTGTGTGCACAAATATTTCCTTCATCTGCTTCACACCTGCTGGGATTACCCCATGCTTCCCGCCACTCCCAGTGTGTAGTAATAGTGTCTTTTAAAAAATTAGTCATACTGTCCCTCCCGTCCTTGATCCTTGGATGAAAGACATTATTACTTCAGTAGAGTATAATTATTTAGCCTAATGATAGGACTGCAATAATAACTGTTGTGGGAAGCTTTTTATAGATACTAGCATATTTTAGAATCCACTATACTGAAGTGAGGGATGTATCTAGTGTAGGACCCATTCATCAAGAGATGTAGGTGCTCTCTTCAAGTTTCTGAAGCACCTGTGAAGTAGCGTTTCTTTCCATTCTGTGTTCCGGAGGTTATTACGGTACAGTTAAGGGCACTGGCATGGGCATTAGGAAGACCTTGGTTCAAATTACTGCTCTGACTTTATTTTCTGTATCAGTATGGAAAAAGCATATGACTTTTCCAAGCCTACATTCCGGAAAGCAGAAGAAAAAATAAAACCACCTTCTCCTAGGTTTGATGTAATGTTTAAATGAGAATAATGCAGAGTGGGAATGGCCCAAAGCCTGCCCCTTCTTAGGGGTTCAATAGACGTTACACGAGGACTCTATCCTCCCTTGATCACCACTGGCATTTTGTAACGGAGTTAGTTCTAATCAGACCATTTATATTGTTCAACAGATACTAGAGACTGCTATCATTTTACATGAATCTTAGGTCAAAAAAGTAACGTAGGCTGTGTCATTGCCCTCAAGGGCTAATAACTGAACTGATTGTCACTCCAGCTTTGATGGACCAGGATTCACCTATAAGCTTCTCTTACGAGATAAGCCAAGAAGAGAGAGTACTATGAAGCTGATGTTTGAGTTCTGGCCTCCTCTGTGAATTAATGGGCTGATTACCAACCAAAATCGGTGGGGAAAAGAGATGACTCCTGGCAGCATGTTTACACTTGATGACGTTGAATATTTTCAGTGTTTCAGGCATCTCTCTCTACCCTCTCCAATTCCCACTGCATGCAGAACTCTGTTCTAGATGCTAGCAAGGAGATTCAAAACGGAAAACTAGAACCTGCTCCCAAAGAGCTGACAGTTTCAGTAGTATAACAAGAGGTATAATGCCACCAAAGGAAGAAGCACACACACCTCTGTGTAAATGTGTTTTGGGGTGTAGGACACAATGATGAGGAGGGTGGTCAGGGAAGGCTTTCTGGAGGAGGTGAGTTGTGAGGAGGGATAGAAAGTGAGAAGAGAAGTGGAGGGGATCATTGTTCATGGCCGTCTCGGTCATCTGCAGCTAGTTTATCCTGTGATAGCAAAATCTTAGTGGTTACAACAGCAGAGGCTTATCTCTTGCTGATGCTGCATGTCCAGTGTGAGTCAGCTGTGCTTCTGCTCTGTGCCATATTCTGCTCAGGACCAAGACCCAGGCCTGATGGAATAGGAAAGAGAGACATGGTGAACTGCTAGCAGGCTCTAAGCTTGTGCTTGGAAATGACACGTGTCACTTTAGCCCACATTTCCTTGGCCAATGCAGATCACACAGGGTAAGGACATATCATCCTTCTGTAGAGACTGGCACCACAAGTCACATGGCCAAGCCTGAGGTCATTGGGATAGGTGGAGGATACAGTCCTTTCCCAGGGATGGGCAGTGAATCATGTGTCAGGATGGCTATCAAGAAAGGCAGTAATGATGCACTGATGTGCTTGGTGTTATTGCCCAGTTAAAGTATTTTAAAGCCAAAAGTCAACCTAAGGAGACAGATATTGCTGAGAGATGAAGGCCTCCTCAGTGGTGGAGCTGGTGGGCAGAGCGAGTACCACTCAAAGCATCCACCTCCGTTGTCCTTTCAGTTGTATTCTGTCAGCCTCCCAAAATGAGACCCAAGCCAGAGCCTTTGTGGTGGCAGCTCCATGTACATCTTGAAGACAGCTCATTGTTCTGTATTCATAAAGGAGAAAATTCCACTCTCTGCCTTATTGATGTCTTTATTCTGTGTGAAAATTGCCTACAGCTGTTAGTTGCTAAAAAGCCAATGCCAAACCAGAACTTTAAGCCAAAACCATTGGAAAACAAATTATCTTGAGGTTTGTATCTGTCCTGGTGAGTGATGGATAGATTTTTGTCTACTCTTGACTTCAGGGACTTAGACCACGGATCCATCCAACTGCCAAGGGTGTCCTGTGACACAGGAGGTGGGCTCAAAGCCACTGGGAACCTCTGCCCTGGGTTCTCTTGACTAGTCGCGGAGCAGTTCTGCCTGTGCCCATGCATAGGAGAGGGAGGCCACGTGGCCTCTGGAGTCAGAGCACGCTGCAACCTAGGGTAACTTCCTCTGAAATGGTTTCTATTGGAATTTGAGTTTATTTCCTCACCTACAAAATGGGGATAATGCCATCTCTCTGCTAGGGTTGGTGTGAAGATTAAAGAAGACAGCTTCTTTTAAAAGGCTGGCACCTAGTCATAGGTGCTTTATACCCCACATCCTAGTACAACGAGAAGGATAGGAGATAGTTCAGGTATTTTCTGGACACAACACCCTGGGCAAATATCTCAGGCTTTTCCTTTTCTTGAAAGCTGATCTGCCTGCTGTGAGCACGCCAGTGTGGGTCCTAACTTGCAGACCATTCTGCCTCTATCTGGTGGAAAGCATCTCATCAGAGCCGGTTGTTATAAACTAGTTTCCTTTCTCTCTCTGAAGAGTCACTCATTTTGATGTATTTTAAAGTGTTACCAAATAGGTTGGTTTCAGAATTACTTACTGCACCCTTATCATAAATCTCATAAATAAAGCAGGCGTGGGTGAGAGGTCAGCCGTGTGAATCTTTAAAGAATGGGGGCCCTGAGCAGTGCCTCATACTCTAACAGTCTCCCTACCACAGGCGGGGCAGTCCGGAGCAGTCCAACCTCAGGATGTAGTGATTTCTGGAGGTCCTAGACCCACACTCTGCCCCATACCACCCCCCACCCCCCGCTTTGTTTTTAGTAACAGCTTTGTAGAGGTACAATTTGCATACCCTATAATTCACCTGTGTAAAGTGTACAATTCACTGGTTTTTGGTACATTCACAGAGTAGTGCCCCCATCACTACAATACATTTTAGAACATTTTCATCACCCCCAAAAGCAACTCCCTTACCCATTAGCCCACACTTGCCACTTCTCCTCAACCCTACCATCCCCAGGCAGCCACTAATCTAGTCTCTGTTTTTGTGAGTTTGTCTATTCTGGTCATTTCATATAAATGGAATCATAATATATGGTCCTTTGTAACTGCCTCCTTTCAGTTAGTGTAATCTTTTCAAGGTTTTTCCAAGTTGTAGTATGTATCAGTACTTCATTTCTTGTTATTGTTGAATAAATTCTGTTGTATGGACACACCACATTTTGTTTATCCACTCATTGCTGATGGACAGTTGGGTTGTTGCCAGTCTTTAGCTATTATGAGTTTTGCTGCTCTAAATGTTCATATACAAGTTTTGTCGTGTGGAAATATCGTTTCAGTTCTCATGGGTATATACCTGAGAGTGGGATTTCTGGGTCATATATAACACTGTATGTAACTTTTGAGGAACTTCCAGACTGTTTTCCAAAGTGGCTGCGCTGCACCATCTTACATTTCCACCAGCAGTGTATGAGAGTTCCAATTTTTCACATCTTTGCCAACTCTTGTTAGTTTCCACTCCCTACCGGTCGACCAGCTGCTTTTAAAACGGTTCTGTACCTCCTGGAGAACTGAGGATGTGTAACTTGGGAATGTGGTGTGTGTGTGTGTGTGTGTGTGTGTGTGTGTGTGTGTGTGTGTGTGTGTGTGTGTGTGTGTGAGTGAGAGAGAGAGAGACAGAGAGAGAATTGCCAAATAGAAATAAAGTCTTCTTGCCAACAATTTTTAAATGATTTGGGATATTTAAAAATAAAATATTGAGCATTAGTGTGACGTCTGCATATATTTTATGCCTTTGAGCATCAATCCTTTTTCTGTATTACCTCCTCCTCCTCCCCTCTCCACTTCTGCTTTGTCCTTTGCCTCAGCCACAAATCAAGAATGTAACCAGGGCTTCCCTGGTGGCGCAGTGGTTGAGAGTCCGCCTGCCGATGCAGGGCACATGGGTTCATGCTCCGGAGAGGCTGGGCCCGTGAGCCATGGCTGCAGAGCCTGCGCGTCCGGAGCCTGTGCTCCACAGCTGGAGAGGCCACAGGAGTGAGAGGCCCGCGTACCGCAAAAAAAAAAAAGAATGTAACCAATCTGAGATTCAGCATTTTTCCCGGAAAATAAGATTCAGCTGAAGTCTTGTCTTTTCTACAGGGTTTTTAGGTCTTAGATTATCCCCACCAACATATTTGAAGAGTGCTGGGGATGATAGCTCTGTGCACTGTCCTTGTTCAAGTAACTTCTTCCATCTTAACGTTAGCAGTGGAAGATTTCCTTGGGGAAAAACAGAAGAATGTGTTATTAATTGACAGATCGATTCTTTTGATGTATGTGTGTGTGTTAAGTGCCTGCTCTGTGCCAGGCCCTGAGGCAGCTGATCCTTAATGACTTTGTGGGGCGGAAGGTCTAGCAGGGGAAACAGGCAACAAAACAGGCACTCTTATCCACTGTGACTGAGGGCTGTGAGAGGGGCCACTCCAGCAGTACATTTTCCTGGGGAAGAACCTTTATTCCCCTCTT